ATATAAAAAAAAAAAAAAAAATCAGTGTTGGCCAGGGGTTAAGAGAGAAGGGATGAACAGGCAGGGCACGGAGGATTTTTAGGACAGTAAAACTACTCTGTATGAGATTATAATGGTGGATATATGCCATATACATTTGTCAAAAACCATGGAATATACAACTCCAGCAGTGAACTCTAAAGGAAACCATGGGCTTTGGGTGACAATGACGTGTCAATGTGGCTTCACTGAGTAGCACATGCATGAATCTGGTAGGGGCATTGTTGGGGAAGGCTGTGCATATGGGGGGCAATTATGGGAATTCTCTGTACTTCACACTAGATTTTGCTGTGAACCTAAAATTTCTCCAAAAACAAACATCTAATAAAAGTGGTCAGAAGCCAGGGGTGGCAGCGCATGCCTGTAACCCCAGCGGCTCTGGAGGCTGAGGCAGGAGGATAGTGAGTTCCAAGCCAGCCTCAACAAAAGTGAGGCACTAAGAAAGTCAGTGAGATCCTGTCTCTAAATAAAATACAAAAAAGGGCTGGGGATGTGGCTCAGTGGTTTTTCTTTCACTGATATGCACCCCCCTCAAAAAAATTGGTCAAAATGTTAAAATTTTATGCATCTTTTATCACACATTTTAAAAACAATGTTTGTAGCAGTTTTCTTAAAAACATCTCCAAAACAAAAGCAATGCAAATGCTGGCCAACTGCAGGAAGGGTCAGCAAACAGTTCAAAGTTCACTGAAACAAGTAGGACACAGTCTAGAAAAACTGCTACACCAACTGCTACACACAAGCTCATAAGGCCAATCTCAAGGATGCGGTCTTGAGTGAAAGAAGCGGTGTGCAGGAAAGTGCCCAGCAGAGTGTGCAGGAGAGTGTGCGGGAGAGAGCATACGATATGGTTTTCTTTGTATCAAATGCAAGAACTGACTACCTTTTGCTATTAGGAGTCAGGGCGATGATCAGCCCTAGGAGGTGGGTAGTGACCAAGAGTGGGGCTGGGCACTGTGTGGGTCTTGGTCTCATGGGTATGTCCAGTTTGAAAACTCACAGATTGTACATTTATGAGTTGTAACCCTCCTTTTCATTTTCTTTGGGCGGGGAGGGGCACCCTACCATGAACTGCATCCCTAGCCCTTTCTATTTTAAAGTTTATTGTGAGACAGGGTCTCACAAAGTTGCCCAGGTTGGCCTCAAACTTGTGAACCTCCCACCTCAGATTGCCAAGTAGCTGGGATCACACACCAGGTTTATGTCCTCTTTTGTATATGGCTCTGTCAATTTATAAAGCTTGTGCGCGCACACACACACACACACACACATCAACACACATATACATATATACATGTATTTATACACACAAACATGACGAATGTGTAACACACACACCACTTCCAGGCAGATAGAAGTGTGTTTTAATTCATGAATGTTCTAATTCTGCCACTCATTAGGTTTATTTATTTATTTTGGTGCTGGGGATTGAACCCAAGGGCTCTACCACTAAGCTCCATCTGCAATCCTTTTTATTTTGAGACAGGGCCGCACTAAGTTGTTGGGGCCTTGCCAGGTCCCTGAGGCTGGCCTCCAACTTGCAGTCCTCCTGCCTCAGCCTTCCAAGTTGCTGGGATTGCAGGAGTGCGCCATTGCACCTGGCTCACTTACTACCCTACATAGGCCCTTACACTCCACTGAGCCTCAGTTTCCTCATCTGCAAAATGAAATTAGCAGGACCTGGAGCAGTGAACAAGGAAGCATGTCCAGATTCCATGCTTATTGACTCCTCTTGCTACAGTTCCCTTGGTCACTAAGCCCAGGCTGGAACAGGGTAGCAGTGAGGTCACTGTCCTCTTCTCCCAACCTGCCTTCCCAGCATTTGCAACTGAGTGGAAGAAAGTGGCTTGTGAATTTGTTTTCTTGCTTACTCCTGTCTTCCACACCCGACTGGAGAGCTCTTGAGGGTGGAATGCCCCTCTCAAAAAAGACAGGTGTACATTCGAATCCCTGGAACCTGTGAATGTGACTGTATTTAGAAAAAAGGTCTTTGTAGATATCATGAAGACCCCAGGATGAGGTTATCTGGATTGTGAGAGTGGGCCCTACCTAACTCAAATGCAAGTGTCTTAATAATGACACTCAGGGACGGATATACACAGAGCAGGAGGTCTCATACACAGAGGTAAAGACCGGGGTGTCGTGGCCACAAAGCCACTAGAGCTGGAAGACACAGAGAAGACTCTTCCTCTAGAGCCTCCTGCAGGAGCACGGCTCTCTCAACACCATGCTATCTAACTGGCCACCAGAGTTGTGAGAGCACACATTTTCATTGTTTTAAGCCACCCAGTTTCTGGCTATTTGTTATGGTAGCCTTAGAAAACTAATGTGGGCAGAGAGCTTGTACGCAGCTCTAAACACCCCTCCACACAGTCAGGTGCATTCCCATGTGCATACAGGCTCCTGCACAGCCAGTGTGAAAACCTGTAGGGCTGTTGTAGCCTTGGCCCAGAAATGAGGGGCTCTTTTGGTCTCCTAGGATGCTGGGGGCAGGGAGAGGCTTTGCTAGCTGGAGGCTTGGAACCCTAAATGTGTTGACGGAGACATCAGGAGAGTATAGCCAGTGACCCGAGTCACAGGATGTTAGGGTTTCCCAGGCTCTTTCTGTGGCAGCATCCGGTGTCAGGAGCCATCCATGGGATAACATGTGGGTCACTGTGCATGGGAGCTAGTGAAGAGAGACACCTGGTGTCTGGAAATGATTGTTGGGTTCCAACCCCATATTGTTTTTTATAGGCTGTGGACAATTTTTCTGGTCAATTGCCCAGGGACAATGTGAATTTCTAATCCACTCTGCGGTGGCCCACACAGCACCTGAGATGGGTATGGCCTGCCAAGATGTCAATCAACCTGCTGACTGCAAGACATCCCCAAGCAAGACTCCTCCCTTGAAACCTTATCCCTGCCTTTGATATACCCCCTTAAATAAACCTCCAGAGCCATTTTTCCTTGTCTAGTTCCAGAGCCCATGTGGACTAGACCGATCAGGGGCTTCACCTTTTGTAAATATATTTCTGAATATTTGTGTTTTGTTATTCACTAATTAGTTTAGATTTTGCATTTGAGGGTGTCTTAGATTCTCCCGGGCAGGAAGAAGAACCCCTCAATGAGACGTTGGCCCCCAAAAGCAGGGGGGCTTGGAGCTCAGCATTCTATGGAGAAGAAAGGAAGGAGGGCTGAGTTGCCCCCGTGTGCACGAGAGTGCCTGCCACTGTGTGGGGTGTGGGTGAAAGTGTGAGGGGGTGCATGCACGCGAACGCGTGACACTGTGTGAGAATGCTTTGGATGTGGAATGTGTGTGGGGAGGTGCTGACCGTCAGGAAGGGAGTGCATGTACGAGTGTGTGGGGGGATATAAGGATGTACTGCAGAAAGTGTGCATGAAGATGAGTCAGTGCGCGTTGGTGTATGAATGACAACGTTTGTGAGGACACTTGGAGGAAAGGAGAAGACAGCAGAGAGAAAAATCCAAAGTCCCACAGAATCCCCCAACTCAGAGATTCCCTGGGGTGGGGAAAGGGTGGGGCATGGTGAAGGGGAGGAGTCTCAGGGCAGACTGTTGGTTTCCAACCCCATATTGTTTTTTACAGGCGGTGTGACCTGGGGTAGGTCAATACACCTCCCTGAGCCTCAGTTTCCCCATCTTTAATGTAGTGATACGAGAGCACCTAGTTCAGGTTTGCTGTGAGGATGGAAAGAGACAGGGTGGGTGGCCAATCCCTCAGCGTAGGTCTGGGTAGAGGGGAGGATAGGACAAGAGGAGCTGTCACTTGTAGTCACCTCTGGGGTAAAACCTTCCCCGCTCTCAACGCTACACCTCGCTGAGCCATGGAGGAAACTTTACGGCAGGATGGGGCCAGTTCCAAAGGACACTTCCTCCCTTTCTCGGCGCCTTAGTTCTCCCCTGAGCGATGCGGCTCTGCAGACCTGGGCCCGCGGAGTGCGCGGCGGGACGGTGGGACCGCGGCGGAGTGTGTGTGTGTGTGCGGTGGTGGGCCTCGCAGAGGTGGGGATGCTGCCCGGAGGACATTAACGTACTTATCTCCCTCTCTGTCGCTCTGCGGAACTCAAACGCAGTCCAGACGTGAGGTGTGGCCTCCGGCAGACCGCGCCCAGTGCCCCGCCCACACACGGCTTAGCCCACCCGGCCCCCTTTGCGATCCCTGCCGGAAGTCGCGAGGGACGGAGCTTTTTCGTGGAGACACTCCAGAGAGCCGCGCCGCTTTTTGAGAGTTCTCGGCAAAGCCCTGGGAGCGCCAGGCAAGGGTGCGGGGTAAATGCTAAACCCGACCTCAGACGCATAGAATCGCTGGCTCCTTAGCTGCGGGCGGAAATGAGGCCGGACCTCACAATCCCTAACTGACCCGGCTGCCTCGCGGGGTGAGGTCAGGCGGTTCTCCAAAGGCGCCTAGAAGAGGGGAGCAGCGTTTAAATAAAAGGCTTTGTTTTTTTGAGTCCCTGCTTTTCCGCGTCCAGTGAGGCTGTGACACTTCACCTATCTGTAAAGTGGGGTCATTAGTTCGTGCCTCGTAGTGGAGAAATTATGAGACATAACGTGGAGGCCGCGTGCTCTCTGTCGAGGCCGTCGGCTCCACTTCGGCCCGCGAACGTTTCCCCTCACTCCACCTTCTGACCGTTTTCTGGAGAGGATAGTCTTCGTTCTTTTCTGCTCTTGGGAATTAAGGACGGCCCCTTGGTCGCTGTGGCGCACATTTCCCGGGTTGGGGGTGTACCCGGAAGTGCTCCTACGGAAGCCGGCTGGGCCGCGCGGCGTCTCACCATGGCGACGGCGGGGGCCCCGCGGCGATTCTGCCGCTGCGCCTGCTTCTGCTCGGAGAACTTGTACGTGGCGCGCTACGGGCTGCACCTATGCTTCCGTAGCGAGCAGCAGCTGCGCCAGGATTACGGTCCTGTGAGTGTCCTCTGCTGGCTTTCCTGGGAAGCGGGCGGAGGCTGGGGAGAAGCCTTTGGCCCCGAGATGGTTTGGCTTGCCCACGGCACACAGGGAGCCTCACTTAGGAGGAGAATGACTTTCCTCTCCATGCCTCCGTTTCCCTTTCTTAAAGGGGGGGTGGTGATAGCATCTCCTGTTAGTGAGCCGCGTGTGGAGGGAATGAAGAAACATGCGGGTAGAGCGCGCAGGGCAGGCCCTGGCTCAGGATGCTCTCTCGGTGTTGGTGGGAGTAACTGGGAACCCAGCTCTGCTTAACGCGGTCATCGCAGTTCCTTCTCTGAGGGATCCCGTGACGTACGGGCTCTCAACTCCACTTTAAGGAGGGGAAACTGAGACTCAGAGATGTTAAAGGACTTGCACAAAGTCACGAAATCATGTTCACTGGTCTTCCTGCTCCCAGATCCTGCGCAGCCGAGGCTGTGTCAGCACCAAGGACTTCCAACAGCTCTTGGCAGAGGTAACACTCCCCCACTCCCTGCACTGCAGCTTGGCCCTTCCTCTAGATTTGTGTCAGCAGTCTGAGGGGTTTCCCAGCCTCGGCCTGTCAGTCTCCGATCGCTGAAGGACTCCTCAATCCTCTGTACCTGCTTCCTGCTCCCCTCACCCTTACTCCTGCGTTCTGGCACCAGAAGAATAGAAATGGAGAAGTGCCAAGTTGTCTATGACATGCTCTTCTTAACAGCTTTGTGAGGTAGACACATTTTGGGATGAGAAACTGAGTCTCAAAGAGGGGGGTTGTTTTCCTAAATTCTCACAGAGGATGGAGTTGAGATTACCAGGGCTACTACATCTCTGCCTCTTTTAACACACACCCCCCCAGGCTGAGTTGCTGCTCATCTCCCACCTCCTCCCTCACCTGGGGGTTAGAGTTGGTAGCTTTCTAAGAGAGTCTTTTGCAGCCTCTGTAACACAGGATCTGACTGTGACCATTCCCCTCCCCATAGTGGGCCCAGCTAGTTGAGGGGCCTCCAGGGTCTCTCCTCCCATCCAGCCTAGCAGTCCCTCTTCTAGAAGTCCCTTTCAACTAGTAGTTTGGTATTTGCAATTGACTCAGGAGTATAGGGAGACTTGCCTTCCATCCTGGGCCCCATTCTGGCCTTCATGATCCTCAGTTTCTTCATCTGTACCATGGCTTCAGGGGAATGGGAGGCTCTGTATGATAATTTATCCCTGTGCCACCCCAGCTTCAGCAGGAGGTGGCGCGGCGGCAGAGGCTGGGGCAGGAGTCAGCTGCCAGGAAAGCCCTCATCGCCAGTTCTTACCACCCAGCACGGCCAGAGGTTTACAATTCACTGCAGGTACTAGGCAGGGAAATTGGGAGCTGGTTACTGGAGGGAGGAAGCAACTTTTTCAGGCCTGGGGTGCTGTCTTCCCCATAGCTGTTATGTTCTGCCCCCAGGATGCAGCTCTGGCTCCTGAGTTTCTGTCCGTTGCGGAGTACAGTGCATCCCCAGGTGCAGACCTCCAGGGCCTTCTCCAGCGGCTGCAGACAGTGTCAGGTGAGAGCATGGCATGACTTGGGGGTGGCAGCCTAAGATACCTGGGCAATAGAGACCGGGGTCCTCCCACCTATCATATTTGTTCTCAAAAACCAGACCAGCAGGAACAGGAAGGGCCAGTGAGACCAACCTGCCAGGAGCAGGGCATCTGTATTTGCCGCAGCCCGGCTGGCTGGGCAAACTAACCAGGGGGTGACGAACAACTTGTGAACGTTGATACAGCAGGAGTAGGAGCCCTTTATTGCAGGACAGGAGCAGTATTTATACATTCCACACAGCTTATCTAATTAGCATAAACTAGATACAGCAGTCAACCAATCAGGAATCTCCACACTTAATGGCTCACTTTTGTTACTTCTCAAACCACTCCCTCTGGCATTTTGCCAGGTACCATCCAGATGCCAACAATGTATTCATTTGTTCATTCATTCATTGACCAACCTTCCTGGCAAAGGTATAGTTTCAAATGACAGTCTGGCATCAGCTTGACCCCTGGAGAGCTCAGAAAGGGAACCCACAGTTGCTCACAGCACCAGTTAGTGACTTCAGAATGGGGCAAGGCAATGGTCCTGAGAAGTGAAGGATCTCACTATCTCCACTGTACAGATGAGGAAACTGAGGCTGGGGACAGTGAAAAGCCGCGCCCGCTCATGAGAAGATTGAGACCCAAGCCTGTCTGACCTTGCCTCAGAGCTCTAACCTACTATCTGTCTCCCTCCACAGAAGAGAAGCGCATCTACCGGGTGCCTGTATTTACTGCGTCTTTCTGCCAAGCCCTGCTGGAGGAGCTGGAGCACTTTGAGCGGTCAGACATGCCCAAGGGAAGGCCCAACACCATGAACAATTATGGGGTAGGTGAGGCCTGGCCCATGCACCCACCTGAGGAGTCCAGGCAGCTAGGATGGGAGACATATCTGAGGTGCTGCAGGCAAGCTGCCCATCCCTGCCTTCAGAGCAAGATCATGGTAGATAACTGTGATGGTATCAGTTTGCTTTGTCCTTAACAGCAAATCCCTCACCCAGGGAAGCAGGATAAGGCCCCAGCAGTCTTCCTGCTCACCACAGGCATCCTCTTCCAGGTGCTGCTGCATGAGTTGGGCCTGGACGAACCACTGGTGACACCACTGCGGGAGCGCTTCCTGCAGCCATTGATGGCCCTGCTGTACCCAGACTGTGGTGGGGGCCGGCTTGACAGTCACCGTGCCTTTGTGGTCAAATATGCACCAGGCCAGGACCGTGAGCTGGGCTGCCACTATGATAATGCTGAGCTCACTCTCAATGTGGCCCTGGGCAAGGCCTTCACAGGAGGTGCCCTATACTTTGGAGGCCTCTTCCAGGTGAGTATTTCAGACCCATGGGACAGGATCTGGGTCAGCCATGAGTGCCCAGGCCTGAGATCTGCCATCTGCAGGCACCAGCAGCCCTGACAGAGCCCCTGGAGGTGCAGCATGTGGTGGGCCAGGGTGTTTTGCACCGGGGCGGACAGCTGCATGGCGCCCGGCCGCTAGGCACTGGTGAGCGCTGGAACCTCGTGGTGTGGCTCCGGGCCTCTGCTGTGCGCAACCGCCTCTGTCCCATGTGCTGCCGTGAGCCAGACCTGGTGGACGACGAGGGATTTGGCGACGGCTTCACCCGGGAGGAGCCCACCACGGTGGATGTGTGTGCGCTAACTTGAGCCTGGTTTGGCCCAGTGGTGGTGGGGAGGTGGTGTGGCAAGTGAGGACCTGCCATCTCAGGTTGGAAGGGGCAGAAATAAACTTGCAACCATGGAACTCCTTGGATCAAAAGGTTAGGCCAGCATCTGGGTCATTATTTCTAGAGGTAGGCTGGCTTAGTGCAGGTTTGCTTGAAGCAGAGCTTGATATGGGATTCATGGAGGGTGGATCCTCAGAGGGGAGTAAGGAAGCAGGAGAGGGTACTGAAAGTGGCTTCACAAAGATGTGGTTTCAGGTGACAGTCCAGCATCAGCCTGCTCCTGGGGAGCTCCAGAGCTAGAATTCCCACCAGTTGGCTCCTAGTAACAGTTAGTGGCTCCTGGATGGAGCTGCGAGGCAGGAGTAACTTCCCAGACATCTGCCTCCAGGGGAGGGTGGCTCCCAGTGGCTGCAGGAGGCCTTCAATGAAGAGTTATCAGTGGTGGACAGCACCAATTGCAACCTCTGAATAGGTGTGAAAGGCTTACTTCGGAGAAATCAAGAACAGATTTCTGGAGCCAGACTACCTGGATTCAGATCCTGGCTCTGCCACTTTCCACTCTGTGGCCACGGGTGACCCACTGACCTCTATGCTCTAGGTGCTATTGTGAGAATCCAATGACCTAACACAGATAAAGTGATTTATATCAGCCCTTGGCTGTGTTCGTTATTTTTATTGAAGACCTTATAACTGGGTGGCCCTAAGATTGATGAGTTGTGTTCACAGAGCTGTGCTTTTTGGGGGCTACACATCTGAAAACCAAGGTGTTTTCCATATTGAAATCTTAAATTTTTATTTTAGTTGTTAATGGACCTTTTATTTTATTTATTTATAAATAAAATAAAAGGTCCATGCTAGTAAATAAATAAAATAAAAGGTTTTTATTTTAAATAAAATAAATAAAATAAAAGGTCATTGAACCCAGTGTCTCAAACACGCTAGGCTAGTGCTCTACCACTGAGCCACAACCCAGTCCCCTCCATGTTGAAATCTTGAATTTTAGCTTCCTCCGGAAGGAGGGAAGACGTGGAAACACGCAGTCCCATTCCCATACTGCAAAAGCCACCTGGAGCAGAGTCTCAGCTGCGTACTTTAGAAAGGCTTGAGTGTCACTCTTTCATTAGGTGTCGTGAACTAACTCTCCGTCCCTTTATGGACACTTGAGTTTGCGACCTCTATATTACCGGGTATATATGTTAGAAAGACAGGGACGTCTCTGCTGGGATCTCACAGTCAGATGGGGTGGACAGGTTCGCAGACCAGCCAGGGAGGAACGGGGCGCGCGGGAAGATGGGGCTTTAGGTAGGTGGGTGATGCGGGTACGGCAACCAAAGCGCAGTCTTGGGAGACGGTGCGGCTGTGGCATAAATAGACGAGAGGCGCCTGAGAGCCCGGGGATTGGCGCCAAGCTGGAGACGTGTCCCAGGGCGGAGCGGCGGGAGTGGGCTCCCTCACCAGCGTGGTCTCTGCAAAGAGATGGGCGCTCCGGAGACGGAACCCGCGGTTTCAGAACTAAAGGCAGCATCGCCTCGCTTCCCACCCGGACAGCCTCCCCGCGCACCGCTCCAGGCCGGAAGTGGTCCGGAAGCCACCGTGCTGCTGCTTCCTTGCGAAGTCGGGGTGTGGAGCTGGCGGTCCCATCCGATGGGCGGTTGAGGTGAGAAGAGGAGAGCCTCGGGGCCCTCTTTAAGGCGGCGAGGCCGCGAAGGGAGCAGGGAGGAGGATGGGAGCACGCGGGGAAGAACTCGGGACGCCCCTTGCGGTTGAGGAAAGCTGTCGGTTCCCAGGACGCCGCGCTTGGTGCGCAGGTGTGGAGCGTCCGGGCGGGGGCGGGACCTTAAAGGGGCCGACGCGTGGGGTCCCGGAGTCGGCGGAGAAGCCAGGGTCTCCAAAGGGGTGGAGGGGATAGCGCGGGTCCCCGCTGCGGTGCTGGGTATCGGGGGCCCTGAGAACCAGACCCCATTGGAGCCACCCTTGGAGCTCACACTGCGGTCCGGGTCCAGAGAGCCGCGGATTAAACGCGTCTCTTCCCATCGCCAGCCTGCGCCGCTATGGCTCACGTTGGCTCTCGCAAGCGTTCGAGAAGTCGCAGCCGCTCCCGGGGTCGAAGGTCGGAAAAGAGAAGGAAGAAGAGTAGTAGGGACGCCTCGAGGAGTTGCTCAGTTTCTGGATCCCAAGGTCGTAAGGCCAGCACCGCCTCAGGGACTGAGGGTGAGGACCCCAGGGACTGGGAAAGGGGGTGCAGCAACTTCTCCGCAGGCAGCTGCAGGCAGCTGGGACTGGCTGTGGAGAAATCGGAATGAGAGCATTCAGGGGTGCAGAGTGGAGACTGGAGAACCCCCAGACAGGGAGGAGACTGGGCCCTGCCCAGCTGGTGAGTGTGGATCTAAGGGTTCACTTAGTGTAGCTATGAGAGGTGGAGCCTGGCCTCCTGCCCATGAGACAGTGTCCTGTGGAGCCCGGAAGGTGCTTCTCCAGGAGAGCACTGATCTCTTCTGGAGAGCCTGGCAGGGAGCGTCTCACTGGACAGACCTGGTCCTACCCAAGGCCAGAGCAAGGGGACCAAAGTTTACTCCTTGCCCTCCTGGCCTTCCAGCCTCACCTTCTCCCTGCATCACAGAGAGAAGCAAGCAAAAGGCCCGGAGGAGACCACGATCCAGCTCCTCCTCCTCTTCTTCCAGTTCTTCTAGCTCCTCTTCTTCCTCCTCGTCCTCCTCCTCTTCCTCCAGTGACGGTCGGAAGAAGCGGGGAAAGCACAAGGACAAGAAGAGGAAGAAGAAGAAGAGGAAAAAGAAGCTGAAGAGGAGGCGCAAAGAGAAGGCCGAGGTGCTCCAGGCCGAAGCTCCGCCTGGCCCCTCGCTGGACCAGTGGCACAGATCCACGGGGGAGGAAGACGATGGCCCAGGTACTGTGCCACCAGTTGTGTAGGAGGGAGAGAACCCCTCCCCAGGTCTGCCCACAGTCTCCTCCCATCTTCCTTTCCAGTCCTGACGGACGAGCAGAAGTCTCGTATTCAGGCCATGAAGCCTATGACCAAGGAGGAGTGGGATGCTCGGCAGAGTGTCATCCGCAAAGTGGTGGACCCCGAGACGGGACGCACCAGGTGGGGGTGCCAGGCACAGGCAGGCCCTGCGTGGTGTACCTGGGAGTTGTGACCCAGAATATGGGCTTTCAGGAGGAGTAGGGTGTGGTTGCAGCTGCTCCAAAAAGGCCAATATGGGAGAAAACTGTCACTTGTGACATATCAGCTGTTCTTCCCCTTTGCCTGGTGTAAGGGTCTCAGTGAGAGACCTTTTTCAAGCAGCTACTGTTGCCCAGACTGGTGGTGCAGGCTGGCAAGGCAGCCTACCTGGGCTCCCTACATCCCAATCCCAAAGGTGGTGGGGGCCGAATTGGCACCCAGGCTCCCCCTGCTCGAGCTGGTGGGGCCTGAGCCCTGGGGACCCGTTGCTGGTTGCTCTGGCATTAGGGGCTCAGCCTGTTTCTTGCTGATGGACATCCTCCCACCCTAGGCTCATTAAGGGAGATGGTGAGGTCTTGGAGGAAATCGTAACCAAAGAGCGACACAGAGAAATCAATAAGGTTGGTGTTGCCCCTTTCCCTGTGGTCTGCCCCCAGCTGTCTCTGATGTCCCACTTCTGTATGTTTTCTTCCCTAGCAAGCCACCCGAGGGGATGGCCTGGCTTTCCAGATGCGAGCTGGGCTGCTTCCCTGAGGGCCCCTGGCCAACTGAGGCCTGTGGACAGTGTCGTGCCATGGCCTGGAGGTTGGCCACAGGGCGGGCAGCAGCAACACTGACTGGTGCTGATGGCTTTTCACCTGTGGAGCCAGTCCAGCCTCCTCAGGAGCAAGGTTAGAGGTGAGACTTACGGATGCCTCAGTAACCTCTCCTGAAAGAGCAAGGGCAGTGTACCTGATATTAAATGTTCTCTGGTCTTAGACTTCTTGCTCTGTTGCTTTTTGTGGTCAGGGTTGGGGAGATTGGTGTGAACTTCCAGGGGGCATTGGGCTTTAGGAGCTTTGGGGAAAGCTGGAATGTTGGGCCCCAGCCCTCTCTGCCCTGCTGCTCATCTGTCAGCCGATTGCACTACATCTGACTCCATGGCTTAGTCCCAAATCAGTCTTAGCTCTTCAATGGGACCCACTTATGCTTGGGGAGAGACAGCTTCGCTCAGTTCATTTCACAGATCACAACAGGTAAGGGCTAGGTGGCTTACTGCTGTGTCCCCTGTAAAGCAGAGAGGCTCACAAACCTGCCTCATTCAGCTATGCCTTGGAAGAGACACAAGTCCTGCATGAGTGTACTGGTGACACTGCAAGCAGCAGGTGGCACTGACTGGGAGGGTTTATGCTTTTAGACAGGTCCTTTTCCAACCTGAACCCCGAGGTGCCGCCGCAGTAAAGAGATCACAAGGAAGCCTTCCTGCTTCTTTAATTGGTGTAACAGACAGTGACATATACAGAGCACACTCAGGTCCAATGATGCAGGGACAGCAGGGAGGGAGTCAGGACACTGTTCACACATGGCCCAGAGACAGACAGCACGAGGACAGATGGGAGGGGTCCAGATGTGAAGGCTGCGATGGGGTGGGGCAGGAGGCAGGCAGCTCATACTGAGCCAGGGAGGGATGGGTCTCTGCTGAATCCTTCTTTAGAAATCAAAGAGAAGGCAGGTGGTGGAGCTGGGTGGTGGTTGAGGCTCAGTCCTGGGGTTCGGGGTGGGTGGGGTGGACTAAGGCTTCTATTCTAACAGGCCTGGGGTGGGGGTGGCAGTCAGCAAGGCCTGCCTCACCCTTTGGTTACGACTGGTCGGGCCTGAGCCCTGCAGCTCAGCACCCAACACTGTAAACATTTTTGGTATTTAAAGGACTTTGCCCTTCCCTCTCTTGGTTTCTGAAAAACTGGTGCTTCCTCGGGAGAGTGTGGTGAAAGGACTCTTAGGGAGGCAGAAAGCAGACCTGGATATAGAAGAGACTTGGGAGGGAGGCTGCCCGTCTCACCGTCTATGGCTGAGGGCCTGGGAGAGGCCCAGGGGACTATTGCTGTTGTCCTTGGCATGGCTGATGACTGGGCAGGCTGTGGGGGGTGCGGAGCCATGGGGGCTTCCTTGGGAGAGGCTGAGTCTGCCCACAGGGCCTCCTGGCCTTTATTGCAGGCGGGCCCAGGACTTCCAGGTGCTTCTCTGGATGGCTAGTCACCGAGGTATAGGTGAGGTGGGGCAAGGTGGGGCTTATAGAGGCGGTGGCACTGGCCACAGGGGCCCCTGGCCAGGGCTGTGATTGTCGGGCCAGCGACTCCTGCTGGGAGCAAGGGGTCAGCTATTGCACTTTCACTGCAACAGTTACGAGGATACTTGGTCCATAAAATAGTCGTTGCTTTATACAATATGCCTGAAACAACAAAAAGCTACATCTTAAATGTGAATAGCCCTGGAGGCTCCATCCCCCAGGTGTTTTCTCTGCACAAAATAAATAGCTCTTCCTCTGTATAGGCCCCCATTTGAGAACATTTACATGACCCTTTGCTGTACATATCTACACACGGGGAAAGTTGCCCTCAGCCTGCACACCTCCCCAGCCCAGCAGGGCCCTGAGCTGTATCCAGGTTGGCAGAGTCTCAGGAACAGAGTGCAGTGGCTGGAGGGCTGTCCGGGGCCTTGGGGATGGTGGAGGAACCTGGGGCGGCAGCCGAGGTTGCCCGGTGCTGGGAAGGGGAGACAGGTGTCAGGCCCGGGTGCAGCACTCCTGGTGTGGGTGAGAAGTGAAGTCCTGGCTGCCTGCCCTTAAGCTAGCAAGCGAGCTGTGGCTTAGATTCAGCATTGAAACGGAATTGGCATTAAAAAACCTAAGTGTGGCCCTGTCCCAACCCCCCTCCCCCATAGAAATTCAGTGGAATTAATGGGTCAGGTGAGGCAGGGAGCCCGCACCCCGATGAGTGGGCTAGGGTGGGGCCCACGGGACCCAGAACCAGGCTGGACTCCGTCACAGTGCTGGGTGTTCTCAATGTGGATGGGCTGCGCTTGGTACTGAAAGAGTTAAGAAAGGAAGCAGCCGAGGATTGCTCATTTAAAAAAACCTCATAGAAATCAGGTTGAGAAGTAGAAAGGCGTAGAAACGCGGAGGGCAGGCGGGTGGGTGGGTGGGCCACGGCCTGGGGCCCTACCGATGGCAGGCAAGGAGAAGAGGCCAGGCTTGTCCAGGCCCCATGGCCCAAGGTGGGACAACGAGGGAGCCGGCCTTGTGTTTCATTGGCCTCATGCCTGGGCTGTGCTCAGGGCTGGAAATAACACCAGCCCCATGACGGCACTGGGCCCCAGCTGGGCAGACAGGCGGGCAGGGGTCCCGGGGCTGCCATGGCTCTGGCAGGCCAGGCAGGGCTGCAGGAATTAAGATATGGCCTTGCTCTCCTGCTTGCACACGGATTTGCCAAACTGGAACCTTCTGTGTGGTAACAGGTCCTGGATCAGCAGATATTGAGTTTTCATGCATGTCAGCGAGTCTGTAGCCATAGATGGTAAAGGGTCCCACATTCAAAAACCAGGGCAAAACCAGTGAGGTCGGACAGTTGAGAATCTGGAGTCAACGAGAAGCAGGCTGGACCCCTGTTGGAGCTGCTACCAAATGGAGGGGACCTTGGGGTGGAGGATAGTGGACAGGGAGGTGGCAGGATGGGCTCAGGCCCACCCCTGGCACCAGGAGGCTGGGAGACCAACACAGGGCACAATGTCCAGAAGTGCCTCCCAGGCCAGGCTCAGTGGGATGTCTTGGTCCTTATGTCATCCTGGCTGGTTGTCCTGCCGTCTTCCACGATATGCTGGACCCCACAGGCCCTATGACAGGAGGCAGGGCTGGGAGGACTGGGTGGCATGGCCTGTGTCCTCCAGTGGGCCGTGGGACAAGCTCTCAGGCGTGTCTGTTCCTCCCCAGCCACCTGCGTGTGCTTAGGCCAGACCTCCTGGTGGAGCTGGAACCCTGGCCTAGCACTGCCTAAGAGACCATGGTGCCTCGCTGACGGTGCCCTACTTGGGGCCCGTGGCTGTCCCTGGATCAAGCCGGCCTGTCATGGTGCGGCCCCAGCAGCTGGCTGCCATGCTCATGCTGCGCTGGCCTCGCTGTTCACAGTCTACCTGGCCCTGCGTCCGCTCGAGTCGGCTGGGGCCGCTGGGCTGAGCTGAGATGGTGCGGAGCAGGTGGTTCCGGGAACGCAGGAAGTCCCCCTGGCCAGGAAGGCCGAAGCTGCCCTTGCGTAGTGCCATGCGGGTGGCGGTGTTGCGGGCTGGCCGTGCCCGGTGGTTGTACTTGAGCTGGGCCAGGTGGGCTGCGTAGCCATCCGTGATGAACTGCAGGGGCAGTGAGGAGGACAGGCCATCAGCGGGGGTACCCCAGCTGCTCCCTGGCCCCTGGTTCGCCTACTTACCTGGCACTGCTGCTGCAGCTTCTTGGTGGGCCGGCCCACAATGTAGATCTGCATGGGGGACAGGCTGATGGAGCTGTAGACCGCCACGTCCTTCGTGGAGCCGTAGGCTGCGTGCACGCGCAGGTGCAGCTGTGGGCAAGACGGTGTGGGCGTGGGCACGGCCTCTGCTCCCATCTGTGCCCTGCCCCCTCTCCCTGGACCCACCTCAGAGATGAGCAGCTTCAAGAAGTTGGCCTTGTGCCGCAGTGGGTCGTGCACCAGGCCATCACAGAAGGACACCACACCGTGGGGGAAGTTGTGCTGGGCCAGCCACGCCACCACCCGCTGCTTCTGCATATCCGGCCGGCCCGTCACATAGATGATGAGGTAGCCCAGGTCCTGCCAGTGCCTGGGGCGAGGGGCAGGCCTGGGTGTCCCATGCTGCCTCTTCCTCCCTCTGGGCCTCCCTGTCTCCTGCCCAGCCCAAGTGCCCTGCTTGGGCCACTGAGAAAAGCATCTCTAACTGGACTCAGACAACATGTCAATAGAAATGGCAGTGACGTGGCAACAGACCCTCCAGTGTCCCAGTGAGCCCCACAGTTGCAGCCCTGCAGGAGAGCTGCCTGTTCTTGCCAGCCTTCCTCTCCAGGGAATTGGACACTAGGCCACCCACAGTCATGCAGCTAACCAGTGGTGGCCTAAGGCTCCAGGCCTGGACCACAAGGTCCAGGGCCATGCAGGTCCTCATTCTGGTGCCACCAGGTCTCCCTCGCCTAATATGCAGGAGCCTCCTGCTGCTGAGCCCACCCACCTTGTGAAAGTCTCACTGTGCCCATGGGGCCACTCACCGCACCACATCCACGGCCCCGGCCCGCACCTTGGGGTCGCTGCCCATGATGGACACGCTGGCGGCAAAGGAGCCGTCGATGCTGAAGACCACAAACTCCGTGCCCTTGGGCAGCACAGTGATGTAGCTGTCAGCAAACGTGTGGTCTCCCCTGGCCAGTGGGGACAGCTTGTCAGAACCAACCAGAGCCCCTCATCTTGCACCCCAGAGGCGGGCCCTGTCCTGCCACCCCTTGGAGGTGCATACCTGACCACCATCTTGATGGGGTAGACCCCCACTCCCAGCCGGTGTGTCTCGGGGATCGTGTAGGAGACACGCCCACTGCTGTTGGTCACCAGTGTGTCCAGGTATAGCCACTCACCCGAGGGTGGCTGCATCATGATGTGCACGTCCACCTGTGAGCAGGGGCGAGTGGTCACAGCTGGTCATACCCTAACCTCCTCACTCCAGGTGCCTCAGCCAAGGGGATGTGCAGGCTCCCTGAGGTCCCCCTGTTTCCTCACCTTCTCCCCGGTTAGGGTGACCATGTCCAGGGGCCCATACATGAACCGGCCTGTCACAACTTGTGGGCCGTCCTCGTTGGCAACTGCGTCACTGATCCGGTGGTTGGCCGTCACGTTCTGGGGAGGGGAGAGCTAGCCTGGGTCAGGGTGGGGCATGGAGAGCAGCTGGGGTCTCCGAGGCTCAGTGCATGCTCCCTTGGGCCTGAGGAGTGAGGCCACCCGACTTCCTGGCCCTGGGCAAGTGACGTCCTTGCTGGGCTTCCTTCCTGCTGTGAAATGGGCTCGTGGCCCCAACTGCAGAGACCGAGGCTCAAACAGACCTGTGCTTCTCTGCAACTCAGTCTCCTCTGTAATAGGGGCCACCTGTGAGGGTCACATAGGACTACAGCCATGTCCCCTCACCCGCAGCTTCACATGTGTCCTCTTGCGCTGCCACTTCTCTCTGGGCTGTGAGGGGGTGAACACCGACACCTCCTTGCCATCCAGCTCCAAGATGCTGGAGCTGTCGTGCCTCATGACCTGGGGACAGAGACGCCAGGGCAGGCTCAGGCCAGGGCTGCTGCTCCAGGAGTGAGAGGCCCAGCCACCCTGGAGGCCAGCCGTGTTCAGGTGATTGACATTTGATCCACTCCAGTCTGCCTCTAGCCCCCAGAGGCCCTCTGTCCTGTGTGTGCAGATGCGCTGCACCCACCCCCAACCCGCCAACTCCTCCTGCACAGAGCTTCCTCCCTCCTGCCTGGAGTCTGGTGGGTCAGAGGGAGGGGCCCCAAGTGTCCACCTCTCCTGCCTGGGCAACAGCCCGGTACCTGTCTGAGTAGGAAGGACACCACATCCGTTGACTCCCAGTAGCTAGCGTGGAAGAGGTGGGGCAGGGCCACCGTGGGGAAGGCCGTGAGGGCGTCGGGGCAGTATAGGGCATAGTCGATCCGCTTCTGGCCCCACCACTTAGCAGCAACTGCAGGGAGGAGGGACCATGACTGGGTGGGGCCAAGACATGGGCAGGGACCCAGAGGGTCACTTGTCCCTTCAGGCCTATTCGGCCCAGACTTCTCCGGGTACAGGCAAAGCAGATCTCTTCCTAGGCTGGTGACAGGCAAGCAGCTATGTGGGCAGAAGGCACCAGGCCCGCACCCAGGCAGCCAAGGGTCCAGCGGGTGGCCCTGTGGCAGTGTCCCATGGAAGTACTAAAGGTCTCCGCAAGGGCCTGGGGAAGCAGGGGACAAGTCCAGGTCTGAAGGCAGTATCATTTGTCCCCAGGTGTCACAGATTCTGAGGAGTCCTTCCCTGAATCTTCAGGCAGGGGTTGCTGCCTTCCTCAGCCCCAGGGTAGTGGGGAGGCCTCAGGACTTCCAGAGGGACAGTGGCATGCGCCTCTGCTCTGCCACTTCGGGTTGGGCCACCGCCCTCCCTGGAGACAAGGTTGCATACAGGAGGAGCCAGCAGACATGCCTATTTATGGGCCCTGGCTCCCCTGGGTTCTGCCCGCAGCCTTGGTGACGGAGAACCCCAAGCAGCTCCTTTGGTCCTTACCTGGTCTCCTCCCAGCTCCTCAGGGTCCCCTGGGTCCCCAGCTGACCCTAACCACTGTCCCTCCTCCCTAGATGCTTGTGTCCTCCCAGCCCAAGCCTCCAGTCCCATTAGCCTCAGCGGGGGCACAGGTGGCAGGGCCTAGTAGTTAGGGGTGAGCATGCTTGGCAAGAGTGGCCCGCGTTAGAGTCTGTGGTGGGTACCTTCTCCGATGTCCACGCCAAGGAGGAAGGGGGCCCTGTCCAGGCTGGGGCTCGCCCGGGGGTGGGGCCCTGGGGTGGCAGGGGGTGGGGAGGGCAGGGCAAGCAGGGACAGGCGCCTGATGCTGGGGGTGTGGCTGAGCGCTGAGGGGGCCTCTGAGAAGCAAGAACAGGGCAGCGACTCAGCCACACTGCCACAGCCAGCCCCAAGGATGCTGCGAGAACAGGGCCTGGGGCCAGGGGCACACCTCTCCCTGCAGACAGTCGGCACTGCCCAAAACACCCCCAGCCCCAGCCCAGAGAGCCCGTGCCCAGCTCAGGGTGTGCCACCTGTATCTGCTTCCAGTGCGGGGAGGCTTCTGGGAGGGGCGGGGCTGTGGAGCTTCTTTCCAGGACCCTCCCAGGAGGGTCCACTGGCTGGCCCGCTGTGGGGGCTTCCTGGGTCCTGTGGCTGTTCAGCAGCCCCCCTGCCCTCTGCCAGCCTCATGCCCCCAGCACCCCCTCCCCAGTGTGGCACCTAAGGATGTCTCTGGACATGGCCAACTGTCCCCTCGAGCTTAGGCCCCTCGCTGTGATGGTGAGGAGGGCGCGGGCGGCTGCACTCACTCTGGGCAATGCTGGACGCCGTGTAGCTCTCGGCCAGGCCTGACACCTGGCTGGCGATGCTGATCTCGCTGGCTCTGCGGTAGCCGCGGCTGGTGGGGGCCGTGCCGGGCGACGAGGGGGCTGCATGCTCTTGGAAGACCACGTTGTGAGTCTGGAGTGCATCTGCTACAGGTGGATGGGGAGAGGGGCCCAGGTAAGCGAGGCCCAGCATGGCCCCTCGTCCCCCCAGCAGTGTTGGGGGCAGTGTGCTGGGTCCAGCGAGCTCCTGGGCTAGGGTGGGCTGGGATGTGGCTGGGCCAAGGGTGGCCAGCTCAGGGCCACTGCAGAGGGCATGAGCTGGGGAAGGGGAGGAGGAAGGCTGGGGTAGGGAAGAATGGACAGATAGACACAGACACAGGGTGTGGAGGTGAGGTGAGGGGCTTTCCCCCTGTGGCCACTCCCTGCCCTACACGTGGCTCCTCAGCTGGTCTCTGGCAGTCCAGCAGCACAGGGTCCTTCTGGGCCTCTGGGTTTGACCCAACCTGCCTGACCCACAGCTCACAGCGGCAGAGGCAGCCCAGCCTGTGCTGAAGGGTGCTGGCAACAGGGGCCCTAGATATGCTGGGGACAGAGAGGAGGCAGCCCCTGCCCCTGGCATCCCTCACGCATGGGCCATGATGAATGGGGACAAAGTCAGGTGCTGAGGACTCCAGCCAGGCTCACCTAGGTTTGGGCTGAGGATAGGATAGGGCAGGGAGGACAGGATAGGGCAGGGAGGACAGGGCTCAGCAGAGGAGCCAGGCTGCATGGGTTGTAGAGGGAGGCTGAGCATCTCCAGGGGGGAAGGAATGGCAACCAGAGACCGCAACTCCTTGCTGGAACCAAAATTTTCTAGGTGTTGAGGGAGGGCACAGCCTCACCCTACCTCTTATCTGCTCCCAAAAGCCACAAAAAGGAGGGCCAGCACCCTTGGACTGTCATTGGCAAGCTGTGTGACTCTGGGGCAGCCTCTGTCTGTCTCTGGGCTGCTACAACTATTTTTGCTTTGGGTCCTCTCAGCCCAGTGTGCAAAAAAAAGTCACCAAGATTAACTCCCCACTGCCTTCCTGCTTGCCTGCCACCAAGGTCCCCTGAACTCTGAGTAGCCAAAGGGGGGGTGAGGGGGAATGGGGGCAGGGGGCAGGGGGCAGGAGCCAAGCAGACGTCACCACAGTGGGGTACACACACTCGGCACAGCCCAGGCTCTGGCGGGGCCCATCTTGCCAGGTGAGCGCGGGAACGGGGATACTGGTTTCCAGGAAGCCGTCCCCATGGGGGAGAGGGGCCAGGGGGCCACCCTCCAGGACCAGCTCGGGGTTTCTCTGCACGGTCTCGACTGGAGGCAGATGGGAGAGAACAGAGGACAAGAACAGACACTTGCATGGGCTGTCCGTACACACACCAACGTAGACTCCGGCTCCTCGAGGACCAGACACCACAAGATGCTGGGACACACGCTGGGGCTGGGGGACAGGCGGGGCTCTGTGGGGGGCCCCACCCACCAAGCGCCCCATCTCTGGGCTTACTGCCTGCCATGCGAGGGCCCAGCCTACCGGTCCCCCAACCCGGCAAGGGTCCTCCTCCTGCCTGCTCCCAAGGGGTGAAGCCCTGACCACGCCCTTTGAAAGGTGGAAGTCACCGAAGTCTCCCAGGAACTCCCAGGAAGGAGCAGCTCCTGCACCAGGTGCCCTTCAGGAAGGGTGTCCTCCTGCTGACCCTCTCGTACCTGGGCCGCCCCACCCTCCAGAACAGGGTGCTGATTGTCACCTTCCCGGGGGGACCTCTCACCCAGCAGCGTGGAGCAGCCGTCCCCCAGCGGGTAGCGCTGGTAGCGGGGGATGCTGCAGGGTGGCAGGGCATGGAAGCGGCGCTCCAGCAGGGGCTCCAGGCGGGAGGCCGAGGGGTCGGCGGGGTGGAAGAGGTTGTAGACTTGCTGGCAGGCTGGCCGCAGCTGGAAAACTGGGGCAGAGAAAGGAGACTGGGTGGCGGGTGGGGCCTGGGTCCCAGGTGGTCTCTGCCGCGCGTGCCTTTCAGTTTGGGATCTGGCTGGGTCACTTTCCCTCTGTGGACCAGGAATGTCTTGTGTGGGTGCTGGGATGGCACCTGGGCATCACATGCATGCTGGGCCAGTGCTGGACACAAAGGGCCCTGTGGCTCTCAGAGTTTTTTTCTTTTCTTTTTTTTTTTTTTCGGATGGGGGTTGGGTTCCAGGGATTGAACTCTGGGGCACTCGACCACTGAGCCACGTCCCCAGCCCTATTTTATATTTTATTTAGCGACAGGGTCTCACTGAGTGCTTAGCGCCTCACTGTTGTTGAGGCTGGTTTTGAACTCCCTATTCTCCTGCCTCGGCTTCCCAAGCCGCTGGGATTACAGGTGTGTGCCACCTCGCCAGCTCTCACAGAGTTTTTAATTGAAAAAGTTATAATGACCTACTAAGAACAAGTGTGCGAGTGTGAGAGGATGTACAGTGACGAACTTCCAAACTCTAAGGGAGACTAGACACCTGGAGGCTAGTCTGTCCCCATGTGACCCTGGGCTGTGCCTCCCTCTCCTGGACCTCCACTGTCCCATGTCCTCTGCTCTGGACACCTTGGAAAGGGAATGGACCAGCAGGTGTTGAGGACAGGGCCAGTGACTGGGTTGGTGGAGCAGAAATAAGAGGCCAAGGTCCTTTGTGGATGGGGACAGGAAAAGGCCCAGGCCATCACCATGGCCTGTGTCAGGGGTCCACTGAGATCTCTGCCCAACTCGTGCCCCTTGTCCTGCCCCACAAGGCTCTCACCATCCAGGGCAGGGATGACGGTTTTCCGTAAAGCCAGGACCAGACCCAGTGGGCACCCGAAGAGGAAGAGATCTGCGATTTCAAAGTCAAACTTGCCCAGGGCGCCGGCGCCATCCAGCATGGTGGAGCTGCTCGAGCGGCGGGAGCCGGGCTCGTTCCTCAGCACACTGGCATGCAGGCTGTGGTGGGATGTACCAGGTCACACCCAGTCCTTCTCAGGGCAACCCTCCCTCAGCCTAGGAGGGACAGGCTGGGTCTGATGGCCCCTTCAGGGACTTGCCCTGTGCTGTCCTGAGGGTACAGCTGCCCAGCACCTGTGGGGACACTGTCAGTGGCCTCTCCAGGGAGCCTACCACCATTGGGATATCCCTGACCGAGGCCACACTGCCCCTGGTTGGCTCTGCCCCTGCTCAGCCGTACCTCCCCAGGACAACCTGCTTCCTGTGGCTCAAGGTAGCCTGGGGCATACACAGACCATGTACCCAATAAGCCAGAGGGGCCCCAATAGGGCACCTGGCAGAGCCCCCAGGACCTCAGAGACCCCAGTCCCTGATTCCAGAGGGACTCTGCGATGCCCCCTCCCTCTTGCAGCCTCCTTCCTCACCTGGCCTGTCCCCTGAGCCCACCTGGACAGGAAGGCCTGGTGCTGCTGGATGGTGTCCAGCTCGTAGGTGGACGAGTCACTCCTCTTGCGGGGCAGCTGCCTTCTGGAGTCCTCGGCACCAGTGCTGCGGGGGATGTCGGTGCTGCTGCGGCTCAGGTGCCGGCTGCTCTCCAGGCTGGAGCCACCGCCGCCACTGCCACTGGAGCCGTGGGCTGCATTCCCCAGGGTGCCCGGGGACAGCAGCTCAGCATCCTGGAATGGCCCCACGGAGGCTCACTGCTGGGTGGCCACCTCCTGGAGCTGCCCCTCCCTCCTGCCGGCCGATGCCCCGCTCAGGCTTCCCACTGAAGCCAGCGGGGAAGCAGAGGGGACACCCTGGTCTCCTGCCCCTCAGCCTGCAGCTCAGGCCTAGCAACCTTCATTCCTGGCCTATCTGTCCACCTGAGACCTGGGGGACCTCCCCCAGGCTGCTGGCCACTCTGCGGCAGGGGAACTTGTGTCTTCCCTTCCTGCTGGGAAACAGACAGGGTCCCCTATCGCATTTCCCGGCCTAGAGCCCACTCCATCTGTGCAGACCTGGTTTGTGGCCTATGAAGCCACATGCTCTCTTAGATCGGCCATGCTACAGTTCTCCAGCTGCCATGTGCCTGCTCTGCCACCTCTGGGTACCAGGGCTGGCAGCTCCTATGGATTCTGAGAAGTACTCCCCTGGCTTCTTCGGGGCCCAGGGTGAACCTGCAACTTGGGCACCTTCCCTGAGTTCTCAGCAAGAGACACTGGGCTTCCTCTGCTCCCCAGGCCTCTCTGTGCACTCGGGTCCTGCCTGTAGGCTCAGGGCCTTGGGTGATGTTTGTTGATGGACAGAAGAGACGCAGCTTGGCTGGGGGTCTGAGTGAGCTCACCTCAGAGTCTCTGCCGGGTACTCTGCTTGTGGGCCACCACATGGGGCCAGGTAGTGGCCAGGTGCCCTGAAGCAGGTAAGGGCAGCTGCTCTACATGACACACGTTTCCGTGGAGGTCTGGGGCCAAGGGAGGGGCATCCCACCACCATGGCCCTGCTCTGGTACCTGCACGCTGACCACGCTGCCGCGGCGGCTGCTGCTCTGACTCTCAGACACTGGCTGGTTGCTGTGGCACAAGGCATCAAATGCCAGGATGCCCCCAACGCAGTCCCCAATCAGGCAGACCTGCAGGCAGGAGAGGCCCGGGCCCACGTTTCTACCCTGCTGGCTGGGAAAGAAGACCCCGCCCTCCAGCCAGCCCTGCAGGGTCCTCCTTCTCCACCCTCCCACCAGTTACCTGCCCACTGAAGGTCACGCCCTCTTGGGACTTGATGAAGTCCCCGTAGGCCAGGTTGGCCCTCTGAATCACTGTGGCAACTGCCTCCTGGTACTGAGGTGAGGAAGTGGCCAGCAGAGGCAGGGCGGCCAGGGGGATGTGGTCCTGACTGCTGGACAGGTAGCCCTCATCGTGGCTGTAGGGACTGAGGCTGAGGGAGAGGGGCTGGGTCAGGAGGGGCCGCAGGGTAGACAGAGCTACCTGGCCCCAAGTGCTCATGGACAGTCCTAGGTCCAGCCCGGGGCCACTGCCAGGGCCCAGGGCTGCCAACTGGATCTGCATCCGACGTTACAGAATTGGAAACTGACTCAGCCCTGGACTCAGCTCCTGGACTCCAAGCTGAGGCTGCGTGCACAGGCTCTCCCCCTCCGGGCAGAGGAGGCTCAACGCAGCTCGGGCCATCTGGACTGGGGGGCCACCGATGCTCAGGGCAGGTGGAAGACAGCATTCTTCTGTGATGCCCTCCCTGTGGGCAGAGGGGTACAGCGGGCAGATGGCACTCACTTGGAGACGAGGGCGAAGGCGTCGGCGCAGACAGGGGGGCAGGGCACCAGGCGGATGGCAAGGTGGCCCAGGGCGCTGGGGTAGTGCACACGCATGACGGTGTCAAACACGTTAGCGATGGTGTTGGCATCTCCCTGCTTGGAGCTGGGGTCCCCGGTGCCCGTGTCCAGGATGGTGCCTCCGTGCAGCACCAGCAGCAGCACGTGGATCTTGGAGGGCGGTGCAGCCAGTGGCTGGCTGACTTCGTCCTGCACAGGCGAGGAAGGGGGTCAACTCCTTGCCAGGCCCCTGTCACACTGTAGGGAGGCCCAAATGCTCCTTCTGAGGGCTCCAATTTTGGTTACCCAGCTATGGAGCCTGGGGTTTGGGAGCTTCCTCCCGTCCCTCAGACCCCTGCAAGGACCACAGCCCGGAGCAGGGAGGCCTGACCACGGGCACAGAGGACTCGGGTGTGGGGGGTCAGCTTTCTCCTCTGAAAGCTCCATGTCTCTGGGAGGCAAAGGCAGTGGCTTCTGCTTGGTCTCCTGGCATGAGGAAGAGGCAGAAGCTCAGCCGGGCCTGGCCTCTGGGGCCTGCTGCTCCTATGGGTGTCCAGGCAAGGGCCTGTCTTGGCTGGAGCAGACAGGGCCACCACTGGCTCAGAGTCACAGGGGTTATTAGGAGTGGCCAGGGTCAGGGCAGTGTTACGACCACTCTGTCTACAGTGCCAAGCTCTCCCTGGACCTCCTCTGGTCCTTCGGTCTCCAGGTCCTGCTATTCCTGGAATCTAAGACCAAGGTCACCAAGAGCAGAGACACCCTGGCAGAGGCAGGGCTCCAGAACATTCAGCAGAAATGACAATACAGGTTTGTGGCCCTGATTACAAAGGTCATGATCCCACCTTCCTGCTGGCCAGGACTGCTGTGAGGTCAGAGTGGACCCTAGATCACATAGGTATGTGTAGACTGCTTGTCCTCTAGAGACAAGGTGATGGGCCCAGGAGAGGCCTGGGGACTGGGCCACCATCCTGTGGTGCACTGCCCAAAGCCTCTGCCAAAGCTCAGCAGGGCTGTGGGCCACAGGCTGTGGCCCTGTCCCCAGGGCCCCCCTGCTCCCTTCCTAAGCTTCTTTGTGGGTGGCCAGGAGATGCAAGTGAGGGACCACTGGGCTGTCCTTGCTGTGTGTGCCATGTCGTCCTCAGGGGCGTGGGCAGGGGACAGAAAAAGGTGCTAAAGCCAGGTGTGGGCCATGGGGTTTTGTGTACACAGGGGGACTGCCCACTGGTGGCTGGCCTGGCAGGGGGACATCTGGACAGCCCCATCCATGTCACTTAAGAAGGGGTTCTCCAACACAGTAGGAGAAGGCATAAGACATGTCCAAGGCAGGGGAGTTTTGTCCAGCAGTGCTTGGTCCCCTAGGCAGTGCAGGTGACTGAGGGCTGAGTCTTGTTTGTGCCCGTCTGGCTGGACCCAGCACTGGGGACTACTCAGGGACCCCTGCAGGCTCCAGAAAGACACCCATCCTCACGTTCAGCTTGACATAGGAACTACACCTGCCTGAGCCCCAGTGGTGACAGAGCCCCCGGGAACCGTGGGGACAGCTCTGGAGAGCCGGGTCATGCCCCACCCCTGGTCAGTGTCTCCATAAAGCTGCCTGCTTCCGTCAGGAAAGGCTGCCGTGTGGGGGCTTTTGCAAGCACGGGGGTCTGACTGGGGACGGCAGCACCCAGGATCAGAGCTGGGTTCCACTGCACATCCAGAGGCAGGTCCCGAGCCCCAGGCCCCTTCCGCCCTCCCCTGGGGGGGCAGTCAGAGCTGTGTGCACTGCAGGTGGGGAGGGGCCTGTTGGCTTGATCCACTTTAGGCAGCAAAGGAAATCCGTCTCCCTGCCCACTGCCCCTGCTGCAAAACCCACTGTCCTCAGACCTGAGAGCAGAGAACCCCAGGAGGTGGGGAGGTGGGGATGCTCCTGCGCCAGACTCCCCAGGCGACCCGAGGAGGGGCCGATCCACCTTAGGTAGCTTGGTCCTGGGACTCAGCCCCCAGTGCAAACAGCTCTGACGGCCCGCAGGTGGAGGGGGGCGTGAGCTCCAGCAAAGAACCCCCGAAGCGGACACAGGTTCCACAAAGAGCTTTATTGGACACACTGAGCGCTGCCTGACCCCTGCAGGCCACCTGCAGCCGTGGCCACATCACTGCTGCCTGGGGGGCTTTTGCTTCCTCCCCTTCTGTCTTTTGCTCTTCAGACAGGCTGGGCACAAGGCGAGGATCTTATTTTTGATCTGGAATTTACAAGTTTCTCATTGTACTTTCCACAGGTGCAACTTGCTCAAGGTCTTCTTGGGGGGCTGTCTGCTGTCCCTGGTTCTCAGGGGCCTCAGAGAGAGGGCAGGCGGGCACCTCCCTAGTAGGGTGGCAAAGGAAGGCGCCTCCAGGGCCAGCGCAGGGGTGAGGTGCAGTGCGGGGCTCCGCCTCCTGTGCCCCTGGACTGTCCCTCTGAGCCCTGCCCCTTCCCAGGTAGCCTTAGATGGCAGCTCCCAGGCACCCACCTCGATGATGTTCAGCTGCTCCACGCTGGAGGCCACCCTGAACTCTGGGCTGCTCTGGCCATACAGACTCTCTGCAACACAGAAGCCTCGGTGAGCAGGGCGCAGCTGGCCCCGCAGAGGCTGTAACCGCCACAAGGGGAACTGGAGCCCTGGGTCCCCCCCCCTCGCCCTGGGGTGCCTAGCACTGTGCCGGAGCTGGGTGGGTTACCCTGTGTGTCCTCTGGCTCTGGGCTCTCAATGGTGTCCATGAGGTCGTTGGAGCTCCACTTGGTGATGTCCTTGGGGAACATCTCCTCCGAGTCAGACAGGTCCTCTGTGGAGGGGGGTGTTCAGCAGGGATGGGATACACCAGGAGCCTCCAGCTCCCCGGCCTTCGCCCAGTGCATCTTGTTCCTGCTCGCTCCCTTCCTCACCAGGACAGCCAGGCAGCTGACACCACCCAACCTTTTTGTTTTTTCAGTCATACCACATAAAATTCACCGTGTAAACCATTTTAAGTGGTATTTAGTGTCTTTGCAAAGCTGCGTGGCCAGCGCCCTTCATCATCCTTGGACAGAAACCCCAGCCAAGAGTGGCCACCCTCCCCGGCCTCCCTGGGCAGCCGCTGGCCAGCAGTCCTTTCTCTCTGCGCTTGCCTATTCTGGTCACTTAGCAGCACCATGCCACGCGACGTGGTCTTTTGTGGTGAGCCTCTCTCACACATGTCGTGCTCTCGAGGTCCCTCCTGCTGGAGGCTTGTCAGCGTGTCCTTCCTTTTCATGGCTGAGCCATACCCCGTGTATCCCTCACCAGCTGACGTCGTTAACGTCCACAGCGGCAGCTCAGGGAGCAGCTGGCGAGGAGTGCTGCTGTGTCCACCTGCAGCCGCCCCTGCCTTCCTCCCCTCTCCTGCGGGGACTAACCCAGAGCCACCACGAGCTCCGTCCCTGGTGCTCCTCTCTGCTTTCTTGGGATTTCTGTTGGGGCCCAGCAGCTGTCTGGGTTTGGGCTCCCGCTGGCCCCCTCCTCTGGCCTTGAATGGCTCCTGGGCCAGTTTCCCCAGGACTCTTTTGCTTCTACACCATTTTCTACACTAGCTGTGTATTTTCCTTTTTTCAGGGACAAAGAGCCAGCCTGGGATGAGTGGGACACCAAAGACACCCCTTCCCCACCTCAGCAGCCTGTCTGGACCAGAGTAAACCCAGAACCTTCTCTTGCCTGGACACTATTCCCCACATCCTTGCCCCTCTGGGCTGATGGCCAATTAACTGAAATGCCACACTTAGCTGGTTCCCCTGCTCCTCCCAGTCGTGGTGGTGGCACAAGCGGGCTCTCGCTGCCCCTGCCCTGTGCAAGCCTGTGGACACATCCCTGTCTCTGGGCCCTGCCATGCCAGGTACCCTGCAGAGGGCCATCTCTCTGCATTGCCCGCTGGTCCCTCTGGCTTCACTGAGGGGGACAGCAAAGGCACTGAGCAAGGAGGCCCCACTCACGTCTTCCGGCACAGGCTGCTTCTGGTGTTTATGCCAGGATCAGGGGAAATGAGCAGTTCTTCTATTTCTGCTTATTGCATTTTCTAAAGTGTCTACTTTAGGTGCATATTTAATTTACATTAATGGCATTAATTTAATCAGGAATAAACAAGGTTAAGTACAAGATTAAGTAACTACAAAAATTTATAACACTGTAAGTTATACTTCTTATGGAAATAAATTCACAAATGGAAAAATGTCCCCGTGCGACTTGCATGTCCTTTTGGGGTGGTCTTGAGAGAGCAGCCCCCTCCAGTCAGGCCCACAGGTACATCTCAACTTCTGGGTAGGTTAGCCTGAGACTGGCGCTCAAGGGAACGTGCCCCTAGGTGAGGCCAAGTCACCCTCCAAACCCTGTGCCCACCCTCACACACCCCTCCCTGCCTCTCCCAGGAAGGCCAAGGGCGCAGAGCTGCCCACTTACCATGGGCATCAAAGAACTCGTCGTCTGAGCTCTCGTCAGAGTCCCTGGCAATACTCTGCATCCTCCACTCTGAGATGCTGTGGCGGGAAGGGCTGGCTGCAAGGCAAAATCCCAGACTGACTGTCTGGCCTGCAGCGGAAGGGCCAGTGGCTCTGCGGAGCGGGCAACAGCAGGGAGGTGGAAACCTGAGGCTTAGGCGGACATGGGCAGAGCCGTCCTAGGGAGGTCCAGGGAGAACGTGGGGCAGGAGGAAATGGGGTCTGAGTCCAGGACCTGAGCTCTGGTAGGCTTGGGTCTGACCCTGAAGAGATTTCTTAAGCTGAGCTGCAGCAGCCTCACAAATGGGGTGTGATGCTGCAGGGCAGTGGGGGGTGGCGGGGCGTGTCTCACTACTCAGGTCCGGGGAGCGGGGGCTTGCGAAGGGAAGCTCCACTTCACCCTCCTCCTAGGCCTTGTAGGCTCCCGGGGGGAGGTGAAGCCTCCTGCAGGTGTCAGGGAGCCGCCAGTCCTGCTCCTCAGGTGGGGCCGTCTCACCCTGGGCCGTACACGTGCTCAGGTGGGGCCTGCTGGGGTGGGGGGACCTGGCTTCACTGCAGCTAGGCCTGGCTTGGTGCCAGTCAGAGAAGGCTGTCACCAGCAGGCTTAGCTTCACAATGTCCATGAGAAAGAGGCCATTTTCAGAGCTGGAAGGCCCAGCAACCCAGCAATGGCACAGGCTGCCTGGGGGGCAGGGCAGACAGGGACACCACATGGCCAGGCGGCGCTGGGGCTCACCTCCCCGCTTGGATGACCGTGACGATTTAGAGGACGTGGACCACTGCTTCTTCAGGCCACGCCCCACCAGGGGCTCCCCGTGGCTGCTGCTGGGCTCAGGGGGCACCCCGGATGCCTGGTCCTGGGTGTCCTGGTCCTTGGCGAGCTCGGTGGCCCCCTCGTCCTCACTGAACTGGGCCATCTTGCGGGACAGCATGAGCTGCGCCTCCCTCTCCAGCTCCCGGATGTTCTCCATGCTCAGCCCGTACCACTCATCCTGCCAGCACCAGGCCTGCCTGTGGGCCCGCACCATGACCCGCCGCAGGCCTGCGTAGGTGCAGGGGAATCGTCAGTCTGAGACTGAAACAGGAGCCCCAGGCTGGCTACCCTGGAGCTGCAGGTCAGACTTGAGGCACTGCTTGCCTGTGCCCCATCTTTTCTATCTGGAAAATGAGGGTACTGGCTCCCAGATGGCCTCACAAACTCACAGTGATTCTACACTCAGAGGGGAGGGGCCTCCTAGGTAAGGTGTCTGGTCAGAAGCCAGATTTTAATTTGGGGGGAAGTCCTTGCCCTTTGGGAAGTAGAGTAGGACTTCCTAAGTCTCCTCTCTCAGTGCCAGTCTACTTTTCCTGTCCAAGTTCAAGTTCAAAATGGGATTGAACCCAGGGGTGCTTTACCACTGAGCTACATCCTCAGTGCTTTTTATTTTTTATTTTGAGGCAGGGTGTCACTAAGTTGCTGAGGCTGGCCTTCATCTTTCAATCCTCTTGTCTCAGTCTCCAAGTAACTGGGATTACAGGTGTGCACCACCATGTCTGGCTTAAAAAATGCTTTCAAAAGACTATATTTTACATGTGAGATAGATAAGAATATATTATGCAAATAAAATAAGATACAATCATATGGCTTTTAAGGAGAAAGACAAGCCAGGAGCAAGGGGCCCTCTGGGGTGACAGGATATGGGGAGCTCAGTGTACAGCTGTGAATATTGTCCTGAAACTGACCTGGCTGTCCTCACACAGGTAAGCTGCATGGCACACAAAACCATGCCTCCATGAAGCTGCTTAAAAGAAACACTAAAAAGAAACCAAACATTCACCACCCAGCAAAGGTATAGACTGTCCCAGTGACACCTCCCCACCCGTGTTCCCTCCCTGTAAGAGTCTGCCCTAGATTTTACATCTGCCACTTGTTTGGTTTCTCGTTTGGCAGGTGTGTTTTTCTGCACGTGTTGGGCTGTTGGGCTGTGGTTGAAATTTACATGTACGAGTCATGCTGTGTGAACTCTCCTGCCACTTGCTTCTCTGGGTGAGTTTCACCTGCAACCACGCCTGTGTGGGGCTCTGGGGCACTGGGCTTTTGGCTGCATGGCATTTATGTGTTGGAAACACCACATTTTATTATTCCTTTTCCTGCCAGTGGCTTTTGGCTCATTTGCATCATTTTTCTGTCTCGCGGCTCTGAACATTCTGGAACACGTTTCTCCTGGCTCCCAGGGCACGCACCTTCTGCTCTCCTGGAGAGTGCAGAGGGGTCCTCCAAGAGGCCTCAGGATGACAGGGCTTCCTCTGCACTCCCCTCCCCAGTCCCACCTCCTGGTCTGCCACCTGTGGGGTGTGTCCGCCCACCTTCGCTATGCCATGGTACCCTCCTGGCCCCAGAGGTCTGTATCCCCAGCCCAGCCGTGGGGTGGCTTCAGACACCATGCTGATGAGCCTGTCTCCTTTTCTGTGACTGTCTGCTGGCCTCACGGGGCTGCTCCAACCCATATGGGGAATGGCCTCAGTCTGGGGTGGCTGGAAGGGCTTAGCACCAGGGGGGAAGGCTAAGGCTATGCAGGACAGCATGAGGCTATGCTAAGCCCAGCTCACACGGGTTCACCAGTTCTCCCTGGGAGGACACTAATGTTCGTAGCAGCAGACACGATTGTGTCGTGCCCCCTCCCTGGTTCTGCACCCCATGATCTTGTCCTGGAGCAGCCCTGTGTAACTGGCACCACTACACCCACTTCTCAGACAAGGAAAGCAAGTCTCAGGGAAGAGCTGCAGAGTCGCCATGTGACAGAGCTGGGACTGGGTGTCAGAACTGTCCCCTCCCCTCCAGCCCCATTTTCCTTTCTGGGAGGAGAGCTGACTTTTTGGGGCTGGAGATCCCTGTAGTTTGGCCAGGCTCTCAGGCTGTGTGGGGCAGGGAGGGCCGAGGGGCACACTGGCTTCTGGGCCAGGGTCCCAGCCTGGGCTCTGCCGGGACCTGTAGTGGGCTGACCCTGGAGAAGCCTGACATGAATGGATCCCTGGGGTGGAGAAAGGGAAAGGCCAGGCAGGCCATGCAGCTCCTGTGAGCTGAGAACTGTTAACTTCCACTGCAGGAAGTGGGGACCATGGCCACGACGGGTATGGCCAAGCTGGGCTGGGGATACAGACACCCAGGCTGTCTCCAGGACACTGTCCTTTCTGCTTAGAACTGGGGACATGTATCCTGGCTTTTGAGTCCTGGGTAAAGAAGGAGGTGACTTGGGATGATCTGAGCTCCCATGTGGTTAGACAGCTGGACTGCAGGGATGTGTCCCCTTCAGTGGGGTGGGATGTCTTCTTTCTCCTGCTACCTGCCCTGGCCCCTGCTGAGGGACACATAGTAGCTCCCTGAAAAGGAGCAGCCATGGGGGTGGAGCTGGTGACACTGCCGTGTCAACAGGGCATCTCTGCCTCTCCGAGCAGAAGCCAGCCTTCTTGGGCCCCAGGGCTCCGCCGCAGCACCGACTTCTAAGGTCAGGCAGCACTGCTGTGGGCACCCTCCACTGTGGCTGGGGGATGCCTGCCCTCGTGGTCATCAAGCACCAACGTGACAGGTGTGAGGCATGTTATCAGAGTGTGGCTCTGTCCCATCTAGATAAGTCACCCTTGCTAATGGCATCACACGGTGTCTGCCTGGAATAAACGTAGGGCTATGAGCCCTGGGTCGGGACCAGATGGGAACTGACATACAGCGACCTCTTGGGCAGGTGCTGAGGGCTCAGAGGTGGTGAGGGCCTTGGCTAGCACCTGCTGGGTGGGGAGCCCAGGCATCTGTGGGGACACCTGCTCTGGGAAGGCTGGGTGGGTGTGAAGGACAGTACAATGTCTGAGACATTCTGCCCTCCAGAACTTTCCACCCTGTCAGGAGGCGCAGAGCTGTGGGCTGGGCTTGGGCCGGCAGCCTCTCAGGTACAGCCAACAGGCCTGGGAGCCAGGGGCCCTGTGGGCAGCAGGGAGGTTGCCCTCAGTGAGTACTCCCCAGAGTCGAGTGTAGGCTACACGCTATCATTCACAAATGGGGGCAGGAACAGAACAGAGCCTGGGGCACATGCAGCAGAAACTGTGCATAGCATTCAGGGAAGGCCAAGATAAGCTGGGGGTGCTGAGCACCGAGGCGTGTGCCTGTAAGTCTTGTGACCTGGGAGGCTGAGGCAGGAGGATTGCAAATTCAAGGCCATTGCAACTTAGCCAGACCCTGTCTAAAATAAAAAGGCCTGGGAATGAGGCTCAGTGGCAGAGCACCCTTGGGTTCAATCCATAGTACCAAAAAATAAAAATAAGAAGGGGCTGGGGTGGTAGCTCAGTGGTACAGCGCTTGCCTAGCATGCGTGAGGCACCGGGTTTGATTCTCAGCACCACATACAAAATAAAGGTCCATCAACCACTAAAAAAATATTTAAAATAAATAAATAAATAAAATAAGAAGACACAAATGGTATGACTCTTCGTCATGTACAACCAGAGATATGAAAAACTGTGCCCTCTATGTGTCATATGAATTGAAATGCCTTCTGTTGTCATACATACCAAATTAGAGTAAACTTTAAAAAATAAATAATGAAAGGTAAGATAAGCTGGGGGTGGGGGTGGGAGGTGAACAGGGCTTTGGCTTCACCTTTCAGGACTAAAGCAGAAGCAGGCCGAGGAGAGGGAGGCAGGGAGGAGCGGGGCCTCGGCCCGTGTGCCTGGGGCTGGGTGCTCACCGGTGTCGTGGATGAACCTCTCGATCTTGGACTGCATGCCCCAGTAGCGGAACTCCACCTTGCAGAGCTTGTAGGCACACATGAGGGGCAGCAGCTGCTTCTTGTACTCCTCGATCCAGTTGTCGGACAGCGGCCCGCGGTGGGTCTTGGTTGACTGGAATAGCTTGGGGTCCTCTTCGGCCTTGTACTCATTGGGCGGCACAGGGTCCTTGACGATGTCGATGAAGTCTGGGGGACACTGTGAGTGGTCACACCTGCCTGGCCTGCACCCCACCCTTGCCAGACCCTCCATGCCCACATCCTCGGAGAGCCCCAGACCTCGCATGTGGAAGGGACATGGGGGAGCAAGTATGGCGCCCTGGGTAGCTCCCTGACTGCCAGGCCTGTGCCTTTCAAGTCATGTCGACAAGCCCCACAGTCAGTGTGCCCACCACCTGGCAAAGCAGGTAACGGAGGAGGCCCTGGAGGGTCTTTTCATGGGACAGAGAGAAGGCTGGAGACGCTTCCCAGGAAAGGTGGTGTCCTGGCAGCAGGGGTGTGGACTGAGGTGGGGACTTGGGAACTGCCCAGGTATGTATGGGGCAGGGTGGCCACTGTGGTGAGATGATGGGTGTGCAGTGGGACGCCGTCCATTTCTTGCCACACGAGGTGCCAGGCCAGCACCTGGGCCAGGGCACCTACACACAGGCTCATACTGGGAGGACCCGGCCGGCTGAGCTGTTGGGGAGTTGGGCCCGGCCCCCAGAGGCCTGCTGTTTGACTAGGCTTAAGTTTATTGAATTATCTGCCAACATTTGGGAAAGTGGAAATTTCTCATGAAAACCCTGCTCTCTGGTTTCCTTAGTAAAGCTCTTAGTGAGTGGGTCCTGCTTCCTGCATGGCAGCTCCAGCTGTGGGACGGAGCCATCAGGGCACAGCCTCCATCTGCCACGGCCCCCATGGCCCGGGCTCTCATGTGAGGCTGCCAGTCTAGGGTGGCTTCCCAAGAGCCGCCGGTGCCCTTCTGGGGCTGGAGGGGCAGGGCTGTGAGCAGGAGAGGCCTCTGTCCTGGGGTGCAGGACCCCAACCTGCCTCCAGGATTGGGCCACGCTGGGGCTGAGGGGGACGGTGGGGGAGGCACAGACAGTGGCCAGGCAGGGCCTCCTGCTCACCTGTCATCAGCTGGTTCTTTTCCACAGGAGACAGGCTGAAGACGTCCGGGTTCTCCCCAGCATCGGTTTTATAAAAGGTTTCGATGTCGATGGAAAACTTCTCCACGAAAGGGCAGGTGAACCTGGGGGCAAACGGCGGCCATTGGGGCTGTGCCTGGGGGCTGCAGGTGGCCGCCTGGCCTGTTGGCACAGCTGGAGAGGGACAGGAGTGTAGGCCTGGCCAAGATGGGTTTCCCAGTCTCCTCTGGACTGTCACCTTGTCCCCAGAACAGTCAAGCCACTGAGGAGGAGGGCTGGGTTTAGGCAGCGGGGAGTCAGGGAAGGGAGCTTCTGGAAGCTGCGTCTCGAGTCCATATGCTCATGGTGGTGGCAATGTCACACAGGTAGGGCACTGTACACAGAGCTGGTGGAACTTGAGCCCTACTCCAGGACACGCCACCCCACCCCACAAGAGCCAGCTCTGGCAACGGGAACAGCTGGTACTCCCTAGTGTAGGAAGGAAGGAGGCCCTGGAAGGCGGGTGGGGACCCTGCTTGCTCAGCACGTGGAGTGGCTGGAGCAGCCCCCATCCCTCCCCCAGCAGTGCTCAGCCGCACACTGGTACAGAGTGAAGACCCGAGAGAAGCCCTGCTCAGCATGGAGTGCAGACTCCCTGCATCTGGCTACCCTCCGTTCCTTCACAGCAGGAAAAGCCCCCTGGTTTGCACTCCTCGGGCCTTCTCAGAAACCCTGGCTTGAATACCACCTTCTTTGTGGCCTCCATTTGAGGGAGGCATAGGGTATATTCCTCCCTCTTCTGTGTGTGACTGCCCTGGGGCCCTTCAGGGCACCGGTCTTGGACACAGCCTAGTACCCTTGTGAGTGCAGGGGCTGAGCCCATACAGACTCCCACTGCTGGATCTGTAGGGTTTCTTCCCACCCGACGGAGGCAGAGGAGGGCGGAGGCCGGCGCACCTGGTTCGTGTGTAGGGGTAGGCATTCCAGGACTCCTCCACCACCCGCAGGGCCGCCTTGGGCAGGATGGAGCGGAACCAGCCGGGGATGTGCATGCCCACGTGGTACACCTTGTGTGTGTACTGGCCTGAGCCGCCGGGGCCGTCTGTGTACGGCCGGTTCTCCAGGATCTCCACGCCGCTGCCCTCACCGTAGGTCTCATTTCGGCTTTTCTTCTGTGGGGACAAAAGCATGATGACGTGTGTGGTTTGAGCTTCTGCACAGGACTGGGGCCCAATAGGCCAAGCCCCAGTGTAGAATGGGAAGAAAGGCTCTGGCCACAGGCTGGCTCCGCCTGGGCCTTTCAGACCCTCCCAAATTAGACCCAAGCTCATGTGGCCCAAGCTCCCTGTGGTCAGATTCCCTCTCTGAGGCCCAGCACTGCTGATTCCTGCCTGTCCCAGGACTGAAAGTTTCCCAGGGCAAGGACAGGGTAAGGATGCCTGCTTTCTGGCTTTCACTCAGTATTGGACTGGAGATTTTAGAAGAGTTATGAGGCAAGAAAAAGAAATTGTAAGAGGCATCTGAATTGGGAAGACAGAAAGAAGCTGTCCTTGTTTGCTGAGGACATGAACTTTATACAGAAAACCCCCCCAAATTTCTTCCAAATTCATTAGACCTAATAAATGAATTCAGTAAAGTGGCCGGATACAAGACCAACACACAGAAACAAAGACTGCAAAAAAGAGATTAAGAAATCAGGGGCTGGGTTGTGGCTCAGGGGTAGAGGCACTTGCCTAGCACGTGTGAGGCCCTGGGTTCGATCCTCAGCACCACATAAAAATAAATAAATAAAATAAAGATATTGGTGTACAACTAAAAAATAAATATTAAGAAATCAACCGCATTTATAATAGCATCTGAAAGAATAAATATTTAGGAATAAGTTTAATCAAGTAGCTCCATAAAAATACTTGTGCACTAAAAACTACAAAACATTGCTGAAAGAAATCAAGGTCCTAAATAACTGGAAAAACGTCCTGTGTTCATGGACCAGAAGATTTACTATTGTTAATATAGCAATAATCCCCCAAGAAGCATACAGACCCAGTGCAGCACCTACTGAAATTCCAGAAGCCTTTTTTTTAATATAGAAAAAGAAAAACTAATGCTAAAATTCATATGGTATTGCAAGGGACCCCAAATAGCCAAAATAATCTTGAAAACAAGACAAAACTAAGCTGGAAGACTCACACTTCCTATATTAACATTTACTACAGAAAAGAAAAAGCAGAAATGGCGATATCAATATCAGGTAACAAAGAATATCAGGCTAAAGAATTCGCTACAAAGTTACAGAAATCAAAACAGTATGGTACTGTCATAGGATCAATGGAATAATATTCAGAGCCTAGAAATAAACCATATATCTAATGGCCAATTAATTTTTAAAATTAACTTATTTATTTGCTTATTTATTGGAGGTACTGGGGATTGAACCTAGGGGCATTCTACCACTGAGCTACAGCCCGAGTCCTTTTAGACTTTATTTTGTGATAGGGTCTTGGTAAGCTGCCCAGGCTGGTTTTGAACTTGTGATCCTCCTTGTCTCAGCCTCCCAAGTCACTGGGATTATAGGTGTGTGCCACCATGCATGACTGGTCAATTAATTTTGACAAGAGTGTCAAGACCATCCAATGGATAAAGACTAGTCTTTAACAAACGGTGCTGGGACAACTGGATATCTACATGTGGGAGAATGAAGTTGGACCCTACCTCACATCATACACAAAAATACAATGAAAATGGACCAAAGAATTAAATGTAAGAACTAAAACTATGAAACTGTTAGAAGGAAATAGGTCATCTTCATGACTTTGGACTTGGCAATGGTTTCTTAAATATATCAAAAGCATAATCAACAAAAGAATAGACAAATTGGTTTATCAAAATTTACAACTAGCTGGGTGCAGTGGTGCACACCTGTAATCCCAGTGGCTCAGGAGGCTGAGGCAGGAGAATCTCAAGTTCAAAGCCAGCCTCAGCAACTTAGCAAGGCCCTAAGCAACTCAGTGAGATCCTATCTTTAATAAAATACAAAAGAGGGCTGAGGATGTGGCTCAGTGGTTGAGTGCCTTTGAGTTCAGTCCCTGATACATTAAAAAAAAATTAAAACTAATGTTTATCAGAGGACAGCATCAAGAGAGTGAAGTCGATCCACTGAACATGAGAAAATATTTGTATATCATATCTGATAAGGGACTTGTATCCAGAATATATAAAGAACTCAACTCAACAACAAAACAGAAAACCCAAATTCAAAAGTGGCCAAAGGACTTGAACAGCCCTTTTGCCAGAGAAGACAGAAATGACTAAGAAGTCCATCTCCTGGCACAGAGAGCAACACCCAGGCCCAGAGGAAAGTCTAGCCTGCTCTTCAAATCGTGGGCCACTACCCATTAGTGGGTCTGAGAGTCATTTCAGTGGTTGGCCACCACCGTTAAAAAGAGAAGCAGCAGCAGAACAGAAAACCTAGGTGAGAAGAGGCTGACACCATTAGTCATCAGGAAAATGCAAATCAAACTTCGAGAGACAGTGGACCATTAAGATGGTTAAGATTAAAAACAAAAACCCAGCAGACGATCAGTGCTGGAGAGGGTATAGAGAAGCCGGGACCCTTGTACACTGCTGCTGGGGATGGGAGGGCACATAAAATGGGGGGAATGCAAAAATGGTGGAAAACAGTTTGGAGGTTTCTCAAAAAGAGACACAGGGGGACTGGGGCTCAGTGGTACAGCACTTGCGTGGCATGTGTGAAGCGCTGGATTCGATTCTCAGCACCACGTATAAATAAATGAACAGAATAAAGGTCCATCAACAACTAAAAAAAAATCTAAAAATAAAAAAAATAAAGAGAGACATAGGATTACCACATGACCAACAAGTACACTTCTGGTTGCGTGCACAAAAGACTTGAGAACAGGGGCTGAACAGACACTGAGTGCCCCTGTGATTTTGGTGACCTGAGGTCAACCACAGTCTGAAAACATTTCATGGAAAATTCCAGAAATAGACAATTTGTAAGTGTTAAATAACTTTTATTATAGTATGCTATTATAATTATTCTATTTTGTTATTAGTTATTCTCTTACTGTGCCTACTTAAACTTTTCCCTGAAACTTATTTTACTGTGAAAAAAAATATATAAAAAATATATATTTTTTTCTTTTTGAATTTTGAGACAGGGTCTTGCTAAGTTGCCCAGGATGGCCTTGAACTCTTGCTTTAGACTCTCTGGTAGCTAGGATCATGAGCATGCCCCACCATGCCCAGCTCTCTAATTTGTAAATTAAACTTTATCATAGATCTGTATGGAGAAAAATGAAGCGTAGGAGTTTGGTACTGTCCATAGCTTCGGGCAACCACAGAGGTCTTAGAATGTATCCCCTGCAGATAAAAGGGGGAGACTGTGCTTGTGCACCAGGCCTTCAGACGACCCCAGTTCTTCCAAACTGTCAACTAAAGAATGGATAAATGAAATATGTTCCACCTGCATCAAAGGATATCATTCAGATGTATGTGTTTCAAGGTGGGCCAACTTGGAAACATTGTGCTGAATGACAGGAGCCAGTCACAGACACCACAGATATGACTCCACTCCTGTGAAATGTCTAAAACAGACAAATCCACAGAGACAGAAAGTGGGGTAGTGGGGACTTGGGGCTGGGAGGCGGGGTAGAAATGAAGGATGACTGCTAATGGGTCCAGGTTTCTTTTGAGGTGATCAAAATATTCTAATGGACTTTTCTTGGGGGTGCTGGGGAGCCAACCCAGGGCCTTACACGTGCTAAGTGTGGGTTCTTACTACTGAGCTGCACTCCCAGCTCTCAACATATTCTGGAATCACTGTGGTAATGGCTGGTCACGCACTCTGCGAACACACTAGAAGGGAAGATTACATGGTGGGTGAATGACAGTTTGGGAGCTGTTTTCTGGGAACAGGGCTCCAATGTCAAGGAGGCATGGGGGGTTGCTGGGGCTGAGAATGTCCTGCTATGTACACAGATGTTCACTGGATGGGAACCCACCTTGGCAGGTGCTCACGGATCATACCCTTTCTACATATGTAAATCCTTGAATAAAAAGTGAAGGGAATTGGGGCTGTGGCTCAGTGGTGGAGCCTAGCATGTGTGAGGCCCTGGGTTCGATCCTCAGCACCACATAAAAATAAATAAATAAAATAAAGGTATCGTGTTGTAACTTAAAAAAAAAAAAGTGAAGAGAATTAGGAACAAAACCAAAGGAAAAAACAGCTACAGCTCAGAGTATCCCACCTACAGAGTGCCAGGCCAGAGGGACCCTGCCACAGAGCCATGTTCCAAGGGGAATGCCAACTTGCCAGGGGAAGCTGACTGGCCCCCTGGCAGGGCTTCTGGGGAAAGACAGCCGCCTCTACTTGCAGTTGCCAGGTGCCAGCTTCAGCCCAGCCTGGGGTGGGGCAGGGGATCCTCCAGCCTCCAAAGCCCACACGCTGCTCAGGTGTTTCCCTGAAGGACGGAGCGAGGAGCCAGGATGTCTGATTCTCTGCTTGGCCTCGTTTTCTAGTCTCGGATCAGCCACTAACATGGCAGCTGGGTTGTAAGATTGCAGGGCAGAGGAGAAGGGCTGGTCCAGAGGATGTGGCTGGGGAGGAAGGCCCTCCCGTGGCCATAGCACTAGGTCCCCTGTCACCCTGCAGGACATCAGACACAGGCACTTGTGGAGCCTGCTGGGGCCAAGACATGGAGACAGCGGCCATGCAGGGCAGGCCAGCATTACCGGGAACCAGTGCAGCCAGGGAAGAGGCTTCCTGGGAGAGGTGGTCCCCAGGGGCAACCACTGCTCCTCCCTGAGCAGGAGCCTTGTGGAGCCTTCTGGACTTGCCTCAGACACAGCTAACCCTTGAGGCCCACGTCCCCTCCGCATTCAGAGCTGCCGCCCCATCCCACAGTGAGGAGATGGAGCCCACCCAGGGGACAGCCCTGCTCCCATGTGGGAGCAGCTGGGCAGCATGGAGACAGAGGACGAGGCACATCACCCTGCCCTGCTGGGAGCTGCTTGGTACCAAAGCTCAGAGTATCCCACCTACAGAGTGCCAGGCCATCAGGGACCCTGTGGGCCAGGCCATCAGGAGGGGTACTGGGGGGCAATGCGTTTACACTCAGGGACCCCATGTGCCTGGTTGTCTCCCTTCAGT